TATGTTGAAAAAAGATAAGTGTATTATGCATAGTATTACCTTTCACATTCTTTGCCGGTAATTTAATTACTATGCAGTGAACTGCTCATCAAGAAAATTACAAAAAATAGCAGACAAATTTTCATCACAGCCAGAAATGCAATATGGCATTCCAAGAAGAGCTGCTTTTAATCCATCATAATGGAAATGTAGAAAGTTCTGTATTGACAAATGCATAACTAATGCAAATAAATGAGTCAATTATCTGTAATGGCTAAAGGCTCACCACCATGCGCCCTGATGTTTTAATTTAAAAAAATGGAACGTGGATTATTAATGTGGACTTGGCCTGTCACAGGAATAAACACAGCAGCCTGAACCCTAACAAGGAACACAAGGAATTAGAATCCAACATACATACATACACAGAATCTAACACTCTCCGCAAGAACCAAATTGCAGCTCTCTTTCAATTGCTGTTTATACTTAATACATTTCTCTTGTTCTATGCTTCATTACCTCAAGATCTATTACAGAGAAAACACGTTTAAAACTTGCCCGCATAGACGATTACATTCCGAAAAATGCAGAATGCATAATGTGAGGTCAAGAAATGCACAGTGAACAATTTTGTGAGAAGGGATAAGCATGTGCATTGTTTTGGTGTTTTGACATAAAAGGCCCAGTGTAGTCCAATATAAAAACAATAATAAAAATAACAGATAGGAAGTTGTTCTGCTGGTGATTTGCTTCCCAACTGTGCATAGTAGAAGGAGACTTTGCAATTGTGGTTGATAAAGAGGAAACCCCCCAGAAAGTTGTGTTGTGTCTCAAGAGGAGAGAAAGAGGAGAGAGGGGAAAAAAAGTGATTGGCTGCATGGGCAGCAGTGGACCTAAGCCCCCCAGGGAGAGAAGGAAACAGACGTGTCAGACAAGGAAGAAGAAGGAAAAGTGTGCAGGCTGCTGATGGGTGAGAGGCCCATTAGGCACCAGGGAAAGGCAGAGGACAGAGTTGCCTAACCTCACTCACCCCACCTTGCGAGGACGGCTGAGAGGGAGAAGCTTCAGGGGAAACCAGCCGGAGGCTTTGGAGCCTATTTCTTATCCGTCTCCATCCGACCCACAGTAAGGTATTCCAAGGACAGACAGCATCCAGGTGGACAATCATAAGATGAAAGACTGGTGAGCAGCGCTTTGGCCATTCTCCTATGTGTTAATCATTGCTTATACCTATTCACAGCTGCTCAGTGGAACCGTATTTAACACTTTGTGTAGATACTTTAACCCTTGTGGACTACAAATACCTTCTCCTGAAGGTTGAGCTCCACCGTTGAGTTCACCACCAGCAGACTCTGTCATTGATTTACCCACTGGCCAGTGCTTAGCCAGGGTTATTAGTTTGTCCGTAGGCCCCAGGAGATAGCTGCATCTTTCATACTCTACATCTACGGTAGATAGACCTGTTGTAATAAATGCTGTTTTTTCTTTGCTGCTTAATGTCATTCTGTACTTGCGTAGTGCGTGTAAGGGAAGACCTCTCACAGGTGGCAAATAAAACAAACTCTCAACATGTTCAACATATCTTGTTGCATTGCATGGATGTCTTTGAATTGTTGCTATCATCATTTCTCCAACTGTTTTGCATGTATTCGCCTGTGGGATCTAATCCTGCCTTACTAAACCCCAGACCTTACTATTGGCGTTTTGGTGCTGCTTCCAGTTTCTGTTGCTTCATCCAGTTTCAGGGTGGGTTATCACTGAATGCAATGGTAATGATAGGCCCAACATTCTCTGCAACTCCTGTGGGTGTACTGCTATATCACTTCAAACTACGCAAACCGCATTGTGAAATTAGGGAATAATTTCATCTTAAATTTTACTAAGGCAAAATAAGTCACCAGTGACCATACTTACATCCCAATCTATTAACGTCATACTGGCCAAGGGACCATATATATATATATTTTTTAAACAAAGTAGAATGTGGTCCTTTTGTACATTTTATCAATAAATTATACTATTTGTTAGGCTGGGAATCATTTTTCACAGTCAAAAAAATAGTGCTCTGCCTGGAGTTCAGCTTTAGTAGATTTTCAGTAACCGTTCTTGTGAATGCGTTAGCTTTATCTTGCCAGCATCCCTACTTCAAGAAAAATAATAGAGCGTTTCTGTTATCTTTTCCTTTAACAGTGATCCATTCATCATTCGCTGTAAACAAGGTGAAAATACAAATCCAGTGTGTGCTGCAAGAGGGGTGAGGATAGTTGTGTAGAAGGAGGGTGATCCTCTGAATCAAGTGTGTCTACATCAAGTGTACCCAGCTAGGTTTCCGTATCAGCCCTGCCTGAAATAGTAAAGTGGCAAAAGGTGGCACATAGATTAAAACATTTGCTCTATCTGTGACTTCCAGGCAGGAAGTAAAATCTGTTCTCTGATGATAAAATGGTCATTTCTTTAGTCATTATGGCCCCTCCAGAGATAACAAAGAGCTAGGTTTGTCTTGAAGCCAAAAGCATAAACAAAGTATGCAGACAAATCTAAAATAAATGCTTTGCTTAGCTGGGTTTTCATTTAGCGTGTTATTTCAAAATAAAATAAAATGACGGTGAATAAAAAGCCTCAGATTATTTCAATATAAAAATTGCTGTGTTCACTCAAACAAGTTAAAGTACTTTTTTATACTGCTGATAAATATTGCTGTTGGAAATTCCACAATTCTTAATCTTTTCTAACCCAGCGGAATGTTTGGCCAGTTTACCAAGGCATGCTAAGACTTTCAGTACCTGTAGACATCAAGTTGTACTGAGAAGTGGTAGGCATACATTTTATATAAACCTAAAAACAAAGATTCAGTATATTGAAGTTTACTGGACCTTAGATGCAGTTGCTGCATTCTTTTTCTTTTTTCAGATTTACCTTTCTTTATTATTACCTGGTAATCCTTCAAATAACACACTTACAATCCTTTCATGTCTACACTCATTTCTCCATTGTATATATGGGGGCAGCTATGGTTATCACCCAGGCTGCATTTCAAACTTGCCCTCCTTTGTTCAGCTCAATTATATGGAGGATTGATGATAATAGTGGTTTACACAAAAAATAAGGTTCTTTGTACTTTCTTTTAAACTCACAGGAAGTGACAAGAAACCTATATTGCTGCCTCTGAAACATGTAAACCCGTGGAATACTTGGGGGCAGAAGACTCTGGTTTAACATCAATACTCCAGCTCGTCTTTGTTCGTGATTTTGTTTACCCATCCTTGTTACAAACAACTGTAGAACACAGGCATGTAAGTACAGCCCTAGCTGTGTGCCTTCTTTTTATTAAATACTGTTTTACACCATGGAGGCGCTCCTTTTTGCTTTATGTTTTCCAGTTTGCCGGTTGTCCTGACCAGTGGGAGCTGCTTCACTAGTGTTACTAGTTTGTGTGCATACAAGTCGCAGGTGCTGGCGCCGGTGTTTGCTCTTCCACTATTTTCCATAAGAAATGTAATATGTTGCAGCTTGCCATTCCTTATATGTAGTGGCTGTATTACTCTTCTTGAACTTCTAATTCCATGTTTTGAAAGCACAGAAAAATAATTCCAGGGTCCCTTCTGTGCACCTAACTGATACATCACAATCTAACAATGTTATCTGCTTTACCAGCTATCGTCTCTGAACTGCAAACCCCTGTTCCCTATGCAATGGAGATGAGCAGAGGAAGAAATGTTTGTAGTCTAAATCAGGAGAACAGCACAGGTGATAACATTGCTCCTCCATAGATACAGTACTTTGAGCAGTGTCACCCTAGGACAGGAAGAGTATTACTGGCAGGATCACAAGGTACAAATAAAGGAAGAAAACTAATGCAGCCATCACACCTAATGACTGCTAAGCTGCAATATTTTATGTTTGTTTTATACCCTTTAACTGATTTGCTTGTGTATATCTTTACTGTGTTCCACTGGAACATCTTAGTGTGTTGAAAAGTATAAAATAAAAAGGTAATTTTCTCCTTCAGTTTTCAGGATGGTCAACAGAATGTCATCTATTTACATGAATGTCATACTTCAGCAGGGCAGTACCTATTTTGCTGGGATGTTGGGAAAGTATAGAGCTGTAGCCGATCGCAATACATTAGGGGATATGATTTTAGCATTATCCCTCAATAGATATTGACTTCCAGATGACTAGTAGCTTATGTTATGAATGACCCTAGCACACTTACTTGGTAATAAGATTTCAGGCACATTTATCCTTTGATTCTTTTCCCAAAGTGGTATAACAAATGGGCACCAGTCACATAAACAGGTTTATTGCAGACTACAATTAGGTGAGAAGGAGGGTGAGGGGTGATTGAGGATATCCCAAGAGCAAATGTTCCCAAACACCAGATTGGCAATGATGTAGACACTTCCTATTGGCTGTCCAAGAGCAGAAGAGTGCACTGCGTGATGACATCACAAAAAGGCCACTGGTGGGCACAGACTGCAACCCTGGGGAGGAAGGGGGAGGGAACTTTGCCTAGATATGGGCTTCAAAAGAGTTGTTTTGCTTTTCAATCGACGTATATCTTTTTCAATCAATTATGTAAAGAGGCTCCCAGTTTATAAACAGGTAGGTGGGAACGCAGCCCAGTGACACCCTGCCTTGTTAGCTTAGAAGCTACAGCACCCCTTGCACAGATATCTTCCAATATTCATATACAATGGTATTGTCACATGGGTCTATGAGTCAAACACCAGGCCATCTACAAGCCAACAAGTAGTAGTAATAGAAACAGTCCTTCTGCTCAGACCTTTAAAGCGGTCATATGTATCAACAAATTGCCAGCGAACACAACCATTGTGATTTCTGGTTGGCTGTCCTTGGTTTTGTATTTAAAGGTAAGGAAAGGTTTGCCACAAAGACCTTCCTGGGGCTACCCTATTTTCACACCCTGTGGCACATATGTTTAGTTGTACCCTTACAAAGCCAGTTTGCAGTTAAATGATCATGTAATAGTTTCTAAACTGGAAACACATAGAACTTACTGTGCAATAAAGTGGCTGAATCCTCTGCACCATTGTTCTGGATGAAGCAGGGTAGGAGGAGGGTTCCTAGAAAGATATAGAAATGTATATGTATAACATCAAAAAGATACATAATATTGAAAAAGGGAAGTTTTAAAGGAATTTATAGTTTTTAATATGCATAGGGGGACATTTATCAAATTGGTCACATCATAAGCTTTTTTAAACTGTCATATCCCTGATTTCTAGTGCATATAGTTACAGGTATATTATCCTAGGTTATTCCTAAATGCCTTCATAAGGAGAATTATCTAAAAAATGTTGCAAACGTCCTGGAGCAATGCTGAATAGCCCTGAAGTGCTTAGCTGACTTGAGGGTATGAAGCCTAATTATCTTGGTTCTACTTTAAGAAGTGCTCAGGAGCACATTTAGAATGTGCGACAGTTTGTTGTTCTTGTAATGTTACCAATGCTGGACACAATTATTGCGTAGCTGAGAAATTATGCAAACGCACATTAATATGTCACAGGAACACTTAAAAAACACATAACAGATAAACCTTTGAGGTTAGCTAGCATAAGATTTCGATCTTTGCGACTAAACATTTTGCTGCAAACATGTTCATAAATTCCCCCCATTGTCTTCATTATATTATATTTCATGCTTAAAAAAATATACATATATAAACTGGTAATTATAAAATACTGCATATACAGTAAATATTTTTCATATATCTAGGAAGGCTCTTTGTATTTCTAGGAAGGCTTTTTCCTTCAGCTATTATGCTAAAAATTGACCTGAAAGACTTAGGGACACAGACGTAGGACTGCTGAAAAGCATGCCAGCAGCAATTGGCGTAGAAAGTCCAGCACACTTTGTAAATTGAATGTCATAGATGCACCCTGTAATATATGTTTGTTTAATAAAAATCTTATACAGGTAATTGAGACTTTTTACCACTCCTTAGTCATTAACTTGTAGACTTTCAATCATTCAGGGCTCTTTAATAGGGTGTTTGTGACACATTTCTGGCAGTGCGAATGTAGTTAGAAGGCGTGCGGCAAAATCTATAAGACCCGTGCAACATTTTTATTGTTAGTGCTGATATATGTGACAAATTCAAGTAGTACTTTTTAGCAACATTCTTACTATCTGTTGCTAATGTATTGACAGGTTCATAAAGAAATTCCACCATATTGCTGATAAAACTGGAAACTAAAGGTAAATAAAAGTCTTTTACATTTAGGAGTAAATTGTGTAACAGTTTTGTGAGATTTGCGACAGACTCACATATACCTTACTGATGTGTAAATGAATCTGATATCTGTTGGGTCTTTTTTCACACTATTATTATTATACAGGATTTATATAGCGCCAACAGTTTGCGCAGCGCTTTACAATATAAGGAAGACATTACAACCACAATACAATTCAAGACAAGATGGTAAGGAGGGCCCTGTCTCTCTATGAATCTCACAGATTACAGTTAAGTGATATTAAAGTCAAAATGTTTATTTCAAATGCTGATTAAACCACTTACAATGGTTGCTGCTTCTTGATGTTTAAACGTTTTAGTTTCTGCAGAATCAGCTGGTCCCCTGATATCCTGTATTAGGGTGGCTCCTTTCCCTTGCAGAGTCCTATGGAGCCACCCTTGTGTTTGTTAGTGAGCTGTGTGGGTCTCCACAAACACATAGGCACAGCAAGGCAAGCCACTCCCCTGCTCCCTGTTCCTTGCTCCTCCCTCCTCCCTTCTCTGAGCTAGTAGATGGACAGCTGCTGGATTCTGCTCTGTCCCTTGTGATCTAGTACTGGATAGGTAGTTCAGGGAAGACGAGCTGAGGGAGCTGGAGCAGCTGATCAGAAACAAGTTGACTAACTGCTTCGGCAAAAATGTAAAGAAATACTTTGCTGGAATGTATATTTGTTTGATCTGGATTCAATATTGTGTGAGAATTAAGCTCCAGACGATAGCACATTAAAGACGATTCCACTCGCTTATCTTGTCTTTTTAAGGGCTTCTTTGCCCTCTTTTATTAACTCCAACATAAAACGTCCACACAGATTCTCCCTCACAGGGGTTTTCAAACATAAAGCAAAGCTTTTTCCTTCAGCAACATAACATTTGTAAAGTCTCACCGACTTCAGGTTTTCTCTAACAAAGCTTCTGGCCACACAGGCTGGTTCTCCTCAACTGGCCACCCAGGCTGATTCTTGTCACCTTGCCACACAGGTGATCCACTCCCCAGTCCGCCAGACACACAGACTGGTTCCAGGGTGGAGCTCCTTTCTTAGGAGGCTGGCATACTTGTAGGGGCCCTAACAAGCCTCCAGCCCTCTCAGCACTTCCCCCTGGAGAGCAACCTTTAGTATAATGCCTGAACCTGGCATATACATCTCAGCCATCCTGGCTAGGCCCAGATGTTTTTATCAGCCTGCTGCCACAATTGAAAAAAAAGTTTGAGAGTTTAAGGGCTTGTTCACACTAAATCCAGACCAGATCTGCATGAGTTTCTGCATATGCAGTGCAGTGCATTTTTCCACGTTTTTGCCGCTTTCGGGGCCGTATTTTGAGTGTGCCTAAAATGGGCTTTCAGTGCATTCCAGGGCGTTTGCACGCATTTAGGTGCGTTCCTGAGCAGAAAAAAATAGGGCATGCTGCAGTTTTTCCACATGCTCTGGCCCAAAATACCATTGGAATACATTGGATGCCTTTTTGATGCGTTCTGTAACTGCTCTGCTCCGCACTTGGTGTGAACAAGCCCTAATACTACTTTACGTTCTGCATTAATCTCCAACAATTACATAACTAATAACTGATTCTACTGGAAGCTCAACAGTGTATTTTCACTAATAAAGTTATCTTTAAAATAAAAAGTGCCTTTTCATATGCACCATACAATCTAAATTACAGTATGTTCTAAAAGCAAAATACCTCTATTATATTTCCTACAAAACTGTAAATAAATACAATTAGTTACACATATGTGGGTCTACCAGGAGCTGTAGGCTTAGATGTACCAATATATATTGCATATCAAAGAACAAATGTTCCACAGCAAAGTAAAACCTTCACTTTGGGTAACATAAGTTCCCCCCAAAAAACAAAGCTTGAGTTTTCTTTTGAATAGCATGTGGAAATGGTAAAAAGCCTTGTTCATCAGTATTGCTATTTACATCACAGAAATTGGATAAAACAGTAAGAGAAAAATCTCCCCACTTTCTGTCTATTTTACAAAAGTGCAGTAAAAATCTTAGCAATAACTAAAACACATTTAGGAGCTCTGTCCGGATTTTCTTGTTGTCTATCTCCCCCAGGGAGATTTTCCTCAATTTATATCCGGGAGTCAAAATGTAAAAAAAAAAAACAGTCAACATTTAAAACTTAAAAGAAAAATATCCATGGAGATACATAGAAGAAACAAGTTCTAAACTTTCTGCACTGTATCTAAACCTCAAAATAAAGTTCTGGATGGAGTTGTGCTTTTATGTCATAATGACTCTCTGGCACTCCACTGAGGTTATTTTTAAACCTGGGAGCCAAAGGCCATCTAGGCTTACATCAAATAAGGGAGTTCAAGAGCAGTGTTTTATGTATTCAATAAAGACATTCTTTTTTTCTAGAATGGATAATGTTTTTTGGTAATGCCGACACTATACATGCCCTATCGATCCTGTGAACTCTACCAATATTCCCTTTAGGAAGTAGAATAAAGAGCCACAATACAATAACTTCTCCGTGGGCTGACCAGAGCCACATATACCATTAGCACTGATAATGAATATCCATATTTATAAGGAATACCATATGCCATAAAACATGTAGCTCTGCCTGATACTCTATCCCAAGAGATGTGTACACAAGAATATGTCACTATCTCATTTGTTTCATAGATCTGGTCCAATGTGCTACTGATACAAAGTTATTGATCAAAGGATGTCCACATATCTGTATCTTGTATACACAGGATCAGGTGGCACTAAAAATAATAGAAGGTGAAAAAGTAAAAAACATGGACAGAATGGCTGCAAAAAATGGATATCCACTTTAAAATGATGTATCGTTTTATTTAAAGAAACAGGGATAGACAAAAAGACAGGATTAGCCAGTTAAAGTAACTCTACCTAAATATATAATACCTGGTTTTAACTGAAACAGCAGACAGAAGTAGATATTTTTACAGCCCAATCAAGTGGTGATTTTAACAATGATTTTCCTGGGTTGGTACTAATAGAGTGTTTGAGAACTGCAGCAGTCTTAGGTAGGGTATACACGGTAGAATTTCAAATAAATAAAATCGGTTTCGTAACGTTCTTTTCGACTTTCTAATCATGGATAGGGTCAAATTGATTATTGATTTCAACTGCAGTGATGAAAAAAATTGAAGAAGCATGTTGGAAAATTTTTCTGCATCGAACGAAATCTAACAGCGAATGTGGTTTTCATTTTTTTCATTTTGAGAAACTCCATTCATTACAAAATCAAATGTCAAGTCTCTGATGGTATTATCAAACATTACGACCGGATTTTTCGCACGAACGTTCGTTCAAAAATCTACCCATGTATTCCCTACATTCCCAATAAGAGACTAACATATGTTTGTTCACTTAAGAACCAGTTAATAAGTTGAGCACATATTATTTGGCAAAGCAGGCAATCTCCCTAAATGTCCATGAGTAATGAAAGGAAAGTTAATCTCTTATAACACAAAAGTGGAAGGACTGAAGTGCACATGTCCTGCTAGCAGCTAGACAGAACTGTGTATCATCATGTGTTGGAATTACCTGGACAGGACTGTGCATCTGTATTACCACGTGTTGGAAGCAGGACTGTGTATCAGGGTCCAGAGTCCCCCCTTTTATCAGAAATACCAGAGCCCCCCCCTTACATCAGGGTTACCAGGGCCCCCTTTACATCAGAGTCTCCAGAGTCCCTCCTTATATCAGAGTCCTAAGGACTCAGTTGTACTGGGGGACTCTGATGTAAGGGGGAACTCTGGGCACTCTGATGTAAGGAGGGATTCTGATGTAATGGGGAACTCTGGGCACTCTGATGTAAGGGGGGATTCTGAAGAAATTGAATCTC